AGCTGCCCCGTGAAACAGCGCGAGCGACCACGGCGCACACCCTAAACCCTAAACCCTAAGGGAATGCCAGCCCTAAGCTCCACAAACCCGAGAGCCAGATCTGAACCACGGCGCGCAGCAGGAGCGCGAATGACCCTCGGCAGCCGCGTGGCAGGGGGAGGCCGTTGCCCTGCCAAGGTTTGTGAACCCTAAAACCCTAAACCCCGAAACCCTAAACCTCTAACCCCTAAACCCTAAACCCTAAAACCTTAAACTCCTAAGCCCTAAATCCGAAATTCGAATCCCTACATCCTCAACTTCAAATCTTAAACCTTACGTCAAGGCAGAGGATTCGGGTTCGAGTAGAGCAGCCTCAGCGATTTGTAGCATCTTCTCGTGTAGCCCCAGGGTGCACCCTGCAGTCGGTTTAAGGTTTAGGGTTTCAGGTTCAGGGTTCAGGGTTTAGGGTTTAGGGTGTTTTCGATGTTGAGTTTGTTATTGTCCATTCACTCTTTACGACGAAAGCCTCGACCCAAACCTCCCTAAACACTTGAGCCTATTATGGGGGCCTGAATAATTACCTATACTATTTTGGGGTTCAGAATTATGAGTAGATAGTAATATACCCCAAAATCTTATTCAAGTTATTAAAATTATGGCTCTTGAATTAGCCCTTAAATCCCAAGCCTCACCTTCCAACCCAGCCGTGTGCCAGGCCCCCCCGCTGCAGCCAAGTCTGTTGACTCGTTGCAGAGGCAGCTGGATGCTTAAGAAGCAATTCAAGAGAAAGGCGAAACGAGTACCCTTGAGGGTTTTGGTGCTTTATGGAGGGCTTGACTAGTTTTTCGGATGACCTAGTGCGCGCTCTGAACCTTTGTATTCGTTTTACAGTATGAACTCCTGGGGTTATGAAGGGCGTCACTTCCATTCTGGGCTCCAAGGACCCAGAGACTCCATCCAATACCCCTTAATTAAGGAATATACCTTAAATTATAGTAGGATCCCTAATAAGATTTAAGGTATATTCCTTAATTAAGGGGTATTGGAGTCTCCGGGGAGCTTGTGATGATGACGGAACCTGGTCGGCGCACGGGGGCCCAAGGACCAGCCTCAAAGACGCGAAGCCAAGGTCCCCCGAAACCCCAAAGCCCCTAAGCCCTAAACCTGCAAAGCCCTCAAGGCCCTAAGACCCCAAACATAAGCCCTAAAAGGTAAACAAGAAACCCGAAGCCCTGAGCCCTTGAGTTATTAAGCCCGGCTCGCCCCGAGTAGTCCTCATTCGCAGCGCTCAGAAGTCAAATCCCAGAGCTCCAGGTAAAGCCTTCGCTAAAAAGCCTTCATGGAGCCTTTGTAAAGCCTTCATAGGAGAAAGCTCTGAGGAAGCCCTTGTACCCACAGACTCCAACACCCCTTAATTAAGGAATATACCTTAAATTATAGTAGGATCCCGAATAAGATTTAAGGTATGTTCCTTAATTAAGGGGTATTGGAGTCTCTGGGTATCATAAGACCCTTGTAGGCACCTCTGTAAACCCTAAGCCTTAAACTCCTTTTGCCTTTCCAAGAACCGGGAGTTCAACCCTACACCCTAAACCCTAAACCCCAAACCCTAAACCCCAAACCCTAAACCCTAAATCCTAAACCCTGATCCCTAAACCCTAAACCCTAAAAAGCACAAGGTCTCAGCCATGGTCGTTCGACATGCGCGGATCCCAGAATCTGCGCTGAAAGGCGGTGACTTGCTAAGGCCGCGCAAGCAAAATCCTGAAACTCTGTACCCTAACCCCTAGACTAGGCCCTAGACCCTGCAACCCTAAACCCTATACCCTAAACCCTATACCCTAAGCCCGAGACCCTGCAACCCTAAACCCTAAATCCGTAAACCCTAGACCCTAAACCCTCAATCCCTACACCCTAAACCCTGCAACCCAAGGCCTTTTTCTTCAGTCCCGAAGCTCTGTACCCAGAGACTCCAATACCCCTTAATTAAAAATATACCTTACATCTTATTAGGGATCCTACTATAATATAAGGTATATTCCTTAATTAAGGGGTATTGGAGTCTCTGGGTATTTCCCAACCCTAAACCCTAAACCCTAAACCCTAAACTCTTTCTGAGGTGGTCTCTGGGATCCATCCTCCTGGAGATGGCCCTGGGCACCCCTCTGTGGCTCTCCTACAAGCCAGGGCCCCATTTCGGGTTTAGGGTTTAGGGTTTAGGGTTTTTTGGGATTCTTTCCGGCGGGGGGTTCATGGGGGCTTGGAGGGGATTTTCTGGGAAGTTACGGGTTTTGCGGAGTTAAGGTTGTGTTTCATATTCGGGTCCTGCACGGTTTAAGCCTGGGGTTTGGAGTTTGGGGTTAAAACGGTTAGGGTGTAGGGTTTCGGCTTCAGCGGCCGGAGAGTAGCAGGTACAGAGAGCAAGACTCATATTAGTTACAGTATGGTAAGCAGTGGTTCTGCCTGCCAAGAAGCACATCGTGCAATAGTATGCGTGCACGGTGATCCCCTAGTCGTACTGGTCGTGGAAGTTGAACCCTAAAGCAGCAACAATGCAAGGGCTGAGCCCCTTTCTGACAGACTTCTCCTCAAAGGAAGTGATGCGCACCTGGGCTTCTATCTACCGTTATCCCGAAGGATCCATCATCAGAGCTCATTGACACGGACCCATGGGCACCCTAGGTTATGATACACCATACGGCACACGCTGAATTCTTTTTTTCCAGATTGTAGGTGCCGGGTGGCTTCGGACCAGCGCAACAACGCGGCAGGCGTTGGAATGGGAGTACTGCGGTGATTTGTTGAAGTCGTTATTGTTTTTTGCTTAGGTGTTGTTGTTGTGTCGTTGTTTTTGATTCGTCCTACTAGTGCTACTGCTGCTGCTGCTGCTGCTGCTGCTGCTGCTGCCGCTGCTGCTGCTGCTCCGACTACGCTAGGATTACTACTACTACGACTACGACCTGTCGCCTTTTCTGCTGCTGTTGGACTTACTGTTAGAGCTCTTGTGGATGTGTGATGGTGGTTGTGCTGCTTGGGGAGTCCGCCGAAAAGTCAGGCTGGCAGCTGCGTTTCTTTGAGCATTCTCTTGTTTTGGCTTTTAAGGTGTATTGGGGGTTTATGCGAGTTCGCGGGTACACATAGGGGATTTGCAGGGAATAAGCCGAATTATGTGGAGGAGGCGTGAATACTTCAACTCACTCAAAATCAAAACTTGCTTGCAGTGAACCGTAATTCTGGAAGTTTGAACAGTGATTGAAACAATTCCCTTCTAGTCCCTATCGGCCGTATAGTTCTAGTATACTATGACACCAAAACCTATCCGGTTCCGTATATGACTTTGAAAGGATACTGGGATTTGGGTTTCCTTGATCAGCAAGTGTATGGGTCTGCTTTAACTTAAATCACCCCTGTCATAAACCACTTCGCCCAGGTGAACGTCCCTAAACCCTAAACCCTAAACCCTAAACCCCTATCATAAACCACTTCGCCCAGGTCAACGTTCCCAAAGCATCCATGCAAGGCCTCCGGGACTACACAGACAAGAAACAAGAGATCCTTGAGTTGTAACATTGCAAACTTACTCCCCTAAACCCTAAACCCTAAGCCTATTCTCCCAGAGAACCCAATACCCCTTAATTAAGGAATATCGCTTAAATTGTAGTAGCATCCCTAATAAGATTTAAGGTATGTTCCTTAAATAAGGGGTATTGGAGTCTCTGGGCTTCTGGCACCTAAAATTTACGAAGCCCCTAAGTCCCCTAAACCCTAAACCCTAAACCCTAAACCCTAAACCCCTAAACCCTAAGCCCTAAACCCTAAACCCCCCCAAAAAAGCCTATTCTCCTAAACTTTACAAAGACCCTAAGCACAGGTCTGGGGCTCTTCGCTGTTCCTGGCCGGGATCCTGAGAAGATCCTCCTGCGGCAGGCGAGAAGGGATTGGGATTGGGTTTTGGAGTTGTAGGGCTTTTGGGTTTAGGGGTTTTGGGTTTAGGGTTTTAGGGCTTTTGG